ACAAAAAAAAGAAAGTATCCCCCCCTCGGAAAAGAGTGGACTACTGCGTGACCCCACAGTCAAAAATCACAAAATATACAGGAAATACAGTCCAGGAGTGAGATCCTACAGACACAACGAACAGCAGAATCAGATCTACATAGATCTTGGTGAATTCATTAAATGCATAACAAAATCACAATTAAATTAAAAAGAAGTGCTACTCCGGAGACTGAGGAGAGAGGATTACTTGAGTCCAGGAGTTTGAGGCTACAGTGTGCTATGACTGTCCCACTGCACTCTAGCCCAGGCAACAGAGTATAACCCTGTCTCTAAAAGAGAGAAAAAAGGCTGGGTATGGTGACTCACCCACTATTTTAGGAGTCTGAGGTGGGTGGATCACCTGAGGTCAGGAATTTGAGACCAGCCTGGCCAACATGGTGAAACTGTCTCTACTAAAAATACAAAAAGTAGCCAGACGTGGTGGCACACCTGTGATCCCAGCTACTCAGGAGGCTAAGGCAGGAGAATTGCTTAAACCAGGAAGTACAGGTTGCAGTGAGCCAAGATTGTGCCATTGCACTCCAGCCTGGGTGATAAACTGCCTCAAAAAAAAAAAAAAAAGAAAGAGAGAGGAAAAAAAAAAGAGGCCAGGCATGGTGGCTCAAGCCTGTAATCCTAGCACTTTAGGAGGCTGAGGTGGGCAGATTACCTGAGGTCAGGAGTTCAAGACCAGCCTGACCAACATGAAGAAACCCCATCTCTTCTAAAAATACAAAATTAGTCAGGTGTGGTGGCACATGCCTGAAATCCCGCTACTCAGGAGGCTGAGTCTGGAGAATTGCTTGAACCCGGGAGGGGGAGGTTGCAATGAGCTGAGATCACGCCATTGTGCTCCAGCCTGGGCAACAAGGGCAAAATTCTGACTAAAAAAAAAAAATAAAACAAAAAAGAGAGAGAGAAAGAAAAAAAAAAAGTAAAAGGGCAAATAGCCAAATCACTTTTTTAGAAGAACAAAGTGGGAGGGCTGTGCTACCAGAAAACAAGACTTGCCATAATATAAAGCTACTATAATTAAGCCACTTTGGTATTGGCATATGGGTCAATAAACAGACCAAGTCAACCAAACAGAGAGCCCAGAACCAGACACACACATATTACCTGGCACAAAATAGATGCTTGATGAGTATATATGCAATGAATGAATAAATATGAACATTTAATTACACATGGGCACTGAGGCTCATGCCTGTAATCCCAGAACTTTCAGAGGCCAAGGTTGGCAGATCCCTTGAGCCCAGGAGTTTGAGACCAGCCTGGTCAACATGCAAAATCCCATTTCTACAAAAATACAAAAATTAGCTGAGTGTGGTGACATGCACCTGTGGTCTCAGCTACTCAGGAGGCTGAGGTGGAAAGATGGCTTGAGCCTGGGAGGCAGAGGTTGCAATGAGCCAAGCTTGCACCACTGCACTCCAGCCTGAGTGCCAGAGTGAGAAGCTATCTCAAAAAAGAAAACAAGACAACCAGCCAGGCGTGGTGGCGTGTGCCTATAGTCCCAGCTACTCGGGAGGCTGAGGTGGGAGGATCGCTTGAGCCCAGGAGTTCTGGGCTGTAGTGTACTATGCCGATCGGGTGTCCGCACTAAATTCGGCATCAATATGGAGACCTCCCAGGAACGGGTGACCACCAGGTTGCCTAAGGAGGGGTGAACGGGCCCAGGTCGAAAACAGAGCAGGTCAAAACTCCCATGCTGATCAGTAGTGGGATCGCGCCTGTGAATAGCCACTGCACTCCAGCCTGGGCAACATAGTGAGACCCCATCTCTAAAATAAAAAATAATAATAATAAAAAGACAACCAAATAGGAAAATGGGCAAAAAGCATGAATAGGAATTTCAATAAGGGAACACAAATTAAAATAATAGTAAGATACCATTTAATGTCTACCTAAATTAGCAACAAAATTGAAATCTGACAAACTCAAGTGTTCACAAGGACTTAGAGCAACTGCAATTCTCCTACATATCTGGCAACTGGAAACCATTTTGGCTTTATCTAAAACAGGTGAATATGCACATATGTCCTGACCCAATTCTACTCCAAGTATATCCTTTAGTGAAACTTCAGCACATATGCATTAAGAGACATGTTCAAGAAAGTTCACAGCAGCAATATTTGCAATAGTCAAACCCCAGAAGCAAATCAAATGCTTACCAGTGAGATATACGACAGACTAGAATACATTTATTTCAAAGAAATACAGTAAAAATAAATATAGCTACTTGTATCAACATGGGTGAGTCTCAAGAACATGTTTAGCAAAAAAAAAATAAAGTCACATAATAAATACTGTATGGCTCCATCTATATAACAATATGTATGGATCAATCTACATAACAAAACTAAAATATACTGTGCTTAGAATTGCAGGTAAAAAATAAAAATCATTTTCATAATTTTTTTTAGAAGAATACAGGCATGGTGGTGCATGCTTATAATCTCAGCACTTTGGAAGACCAAAGTGGGAAGTTCTCTTGAGACCAGGAGTTTGACATCAGCCTGAGCAAAACAACAAGACCCTGTTTCGACAAAAAAATTTTTTTTTATTAAGCCAAAAGAGGCTGGGTATGGTGTCTCATGCCTTTAATCCCAGCACTTTGGGAGGCCAAGGCAGGCAGATTGCTTTGAGCTCAGGAATTCAAGACCAGTCTGAGCAACATGGTGAAACTCCCTACCAAAAAATTAGATAGGCGTGGTGGCTTGCACCTCTAGTCCCAGCTACTTTGGAGGCTGAGGCTGGAGAATCACCTGAGCCCAGAGAGCAGAGGTTGCAGTGAGCCAAGGTCACACCATTGCACTCCAGCCTATGGGGAGCAGAGCTCTAGGGAGTAGAGACAGTTTGCTCCCTAGAGTACCTAAAAATATCTTCTGCCTTTTCTGTTTTTCATTCACAGCTGCCCTTCACACCTAAAAAAGTTCTGTAGTCCCAAGGTCTGTCTACTCCTCTACTTTCCTTCCTTGCTCCCCCAGTCGCCTCCATTGGCTCCAGAGACATGACAAGGCCAACTAGGAAAGAACACTCATCTCCTTTCAGTCTCTAGAATGGTGACACAAATACTGCTATTAGTAGGTTACTCAAGCTGTTGAGACAGACTTCAACCACAGATTCTTATGCTATAAGGCAACATACACCCCCAGCCCCTCTTTATTTTCTCATTTGGACTCTTATAACAGCCACTTGACTAGCCTCTGTGCTTCTAAAATGCATGCCTGTTCCTACCTCTCTTTCATTTAAAACCCTTCACTTGTTCCTCCTCACTGTCTCCAGAAGAGGTTAAAACTGGGAACCACTAGATCAATTTGGTCTACAGATGTACTAATGTGTTTTATTTGTACACATGCTTAAAATAAAAACCAAAAAAACAAAAACTCTGGGTTAACATTTTTTTGAGACAAGCTCTCATTCTGTCACCTAGGCTGGAGTGCAGTGGTACAATCCAGCTCACTGCGGCCCTGACTTCCCAGGCTCAGGTGATCCTCCCACCTCAGCCTCCCAGGTAGCTTGGACAACAGGTACAGGCAAGCAGGCCAACTAAATTTTTTTGTATTTCTTTGTAGTGACACGGTTTCTTGGGATAACATTTTAAACCTGGGAGATTTTAAAGAGAAGCTGGAAGTCCAGATTATTATCTGGACCATCCTGGTCAACATGGTGAAACTCTGTCTCTACCAAAATACAAAATTAGCTAGGCATGGTGGCACATGCCTGTAGTCCTAGCTACTCGGGAGGCTGAAGCAGGAGATTATTATCTGGATTTCCAGCTTCTCTTCAAAAACTGGAAGATTAGTGAAAAATCACCTGTAGCTGAATCTACAGGTTAGACAGAGACACTGATAGAGAGTTGGCATCTACTTCAACATGGTCCCAATCACTCTTACTTAGGCATTACATTTTTGGGTTTTAGGTTTTGTTTTGTTTTTTTTTGAGACAGAGTCTTATTCTGTCGCTCAGGCTGGAGCACAGTGGTGCAATCACAGCTCACTGTAAACTCTGCTTCCCAGGCTCAAAATGATCCTCCCACCTCAGCCTCCTAAGTAGCTGAGACTACAGGCACCATGCCTGGCTAATATTTGTACAGACAAGGTCTTGCCATGTGGACCATGCTGGTCTCAAACTGCCGGGCTCAAGCAATCTGCCTGTCTCAGCCTCCCAAAGTGCTAGGATTACAGGCATGAGCCACTGCATCTGGCTTTGTTGTTGCTGTTGTTGTTTTTTCTTTTGAGACAGAGTCTCGCTTTGTCGACAGGTGCCAGCCTGAAGTGAAGTGGCACGATCTCAGCTCACTACAACCTCCACCTCCCAGGTTCAAGCAATTCTCCTGCCTCGGCCTCGTGAGTAGCTGGGACTACAGGCATGTGCCACCACGCCCAGCTAATTTTTGTATTTTGGTAGAGACAGGGTTTCACCATGTTGGCCAGGATGGTCTCGATCTCTTGACCTCATGATCTGCCCGCCTCAGCTTCCCGAGGTGCTGGAATTACAGGCATGAGCCACCGCTCCCGGCCCTGGCTTTGTTTTTTAAGATAGTGTCTTGCTCTGTCCCCTAGGCTGGAATGCAGTGGCCCCATCACAGCTCACTGTAGCCTCAACCTCCCAGACTCAAGAATCTTCCCACCTTAGCCACCCAAGTACTTGGAACTACAGGCACACGCCACCATGGCCAGCTAATTTTTTAATTTTGTTGTAGAGACAGGGCCTCCCTATGTTGCCCAGGCTGGTCTAGAACTCCTAGGCTCAAGTGATCCTCCTGCCTCCACCTGCTGAAGTGTTGCGAATATAGGCATGAGCCACCATGCCCAGCCAAAAATCTTTATCACTTACAGTGCCTGCCTTGTAACAGCAGTCAATATGTACTTGATGAATGAGTGAATGAGTGGTGGAGAAAATGAGATAATGAATGGCATATGGAAAACCAGCGCAAATAAGGTTAGGGAACAGTAGTGCTTCTGGTAACTCACATAGATTTCCATTTTTCGGTAGAGACCATAGTTGAGCAGCAAATTATGAGTCATGCGGATTCGGTGAGGCTTCATTGGGTGGCCTTGTCCATAATAGTAATTTCCAACATCCCCTGAAGAAGAGAGAGTGACAGCTTCACTAACATAGTTAGACATACACTCCCAAGAGAATCTAGGGATTTTTACAGCAAACTCCTAGGCAAATTCTTTCTGGTTCATTTCTAGTTTCCAAGATTCTCTCCTACCTTGAGAAAGGGTAACTACAAAGAAAAAAAAAAAGCAGGGGACCATGGTGAGGTCAACATTTAAATCTCAGTCTAGCTCACTTTCTTCTGGAACCCACAAGCACTAGATAACATGAGGGGTTCATTCCAAAGCTAGTGGAGAACAGCAGCCAGTGAAATGACTCACCCCACTATACCTCCAAGGAATTCCCTCCCACAACAGAAAAATAACCATCACTACTCAGAATTATTATTATTATTATTTTTTTTTTGAGACAGAGTTTTGCTCTTGTTGCACAGCTGGCGTGCAATGGCATGATCTTGGCTCACTGCAACCTCTGCTTCCTGGGTTCAAGAAATTCTCCTTCCTCAGCCTCCTGAGTAACTGGGATTACAGGCACCCACCACCATGCCTGGCTAATTTAGTTTTTTTTTTGAGAGAGAGTCTCCCTCTGTCGCCAGGTGCCAGGCTGGAGTGCAGTGACGTGGTCTTGGCTCACTGCAACCTCCGTCTCCTGGGTTCAAGCAATTTTCCTGCCTCAGCCTCCCGAGTAGCTAGGACTACAGGTGCATGCCACCACACCCAGTTAACTTTTGTATTTTAGTAGAGATGGGGTTTCACCATGTTGGCCAGGATGGTCTCAATCTCTTGACCTCATTATCTGCCCGCCAAGGCCTTCCAAAGTGCTGGGATTACAGGTATGAGCCACCACACCCAGCCTAATTTTTGTATCTTTAGTAGAGACGGGATTTCACCATGTTGAGCAGGCTGCACTCAAACTGCTGACTCAGGTGATCTGCCCGCCTCAGCCTCCCAAAGTGCTGGGATTACAGGCATGAGCCACTGCACCCAGCCTTATTCAGAATTATTATAAACCACAGTTCACCTCTTACATGTTGTAATACTTATGGTATCAAAGCACATTCACTTCATTTTCTTTCTGGAGCCTCACAGTAACATGGGTAGGACAAGGAATATTATTCTCATCTTATAGATAAGAAAACTAAACTTTATCAGCCGGGCACAGTGGCTCATACCTGTAATCCCAGCTCTTTGGGAGGCCAAGGCCGGTGGATCACTTGAGATCAGGAGTTCAAAACTAGCCTGTCCAACATGGTGAAACCCTGTCTCTAAAATAAAAAGAAAGAAAGAAAACTAAACCTTATCACTTGCTTCATCTATAATACTAGCCTTCTAATTGGTCCCTCTACCTTCAATACACATTACCTGCCAAACTGTCACCAGAGTTATTTTCCTAATCCACAACTCTGATAACATCTCTCCTTTGCTCAGAAAATCCTTATGGCTCCCCATCCCCTACAGGATAAAGAGTAAAGAATAACTTTATAATAGAGATGGGCATGGTGGCATGAGCCTGTAATCCCAGCTACTCCAGAGGCTGAGGCAGGAAAATCACTTGAGCCCAGGAGTTTGAGACCAGCCTGGGTCTCAAAAAATTAATCTAATAACTTCAGAAGACTGGCATTCAAGGACTTTCTTTTCTTTTCTTTTTTGAGATGGATCTCAATCTGTTGACCAAGCTGGAGTGCAGTGGCGAAATCTCAGCTCACTGCAACCTCCATCTCCCGGGCTCAAGTAATTCTCCTGCCTCAGGCTCCCAAGTAGCTGGGATCACAGGCATGCACCACCATGCCTGGCTAATTTTTATATTTTTAGTAGAGATGGGGTTTCACCTTGTTGGCCAGGCTGCTCTCAAACTCCTGATCTCAGGTGATCTGCCCTCCTCAGCCTCCCTAAGTGCTGGGATTACAGGTGTGAGCTACCACGCCCCGCCAGCATTCAAAGACTAAGGACTTTCTTTTTTTTTTTTGAGACGAAGTCTCATTCTGTCATCCAGGCTGGAGTGCAGTGGCACGATCTTGGCTCACTGCAACCTCCGCCTCCCAGATTCAAGTGATTCTCCTGCCTCAGTCTCCCAAGTACTTGTAGTCCCAAGTAGCTGGGACTATAGGCATATGCTACCACACCCAGCTAATTTTTGTATTTTTGGTAGAGATGAGATCTCACCACACTGGTCAGGCTGGTGTCAAACTCCTGACCTGGCAATCCGCCCACCTCGGCCACCCAAAGTGCTGGGATTACAGGTGTGAGCCACCATGCTGGTCTCAAGGACTTTCTTAATCCGCCTTTCCAGCTTCATCTTTGCTACCACCCTTTCCCACAACACACACACACACTCTCTCTGTCTCTCTCTCTCTCTCGCTCGCTTGCTCTTTTTGCTCTAGACTGGAGTAAGCAAACTATGGCCTTTGGGCCAAATACAACTAGCTGCCTGTTTTGGTAAATAAAATTTTATTGGAACACAGCCATGACCATTCATTTACATCTCTTCTATGACTGTTTTCACACTACAGTGGCAGAGCTGAGTAGTTTATTTGCCACAGACACTCGTGCATGTGGCAAAGTAAAGTGTAAAATATTTATTATCTGGCCCTTTACAGAAAAAGTTTGGCAACCCATGCTCTAGACACACCAGATTATGATCAGTATCCTGAACATTACATTCTCCTTCACAACACAGTATCCTTCGTGCAGACTGTTCCTTTGACCTGAAATGTCCTCCTTTCTCTGATGATGTTCATATTACAAAGCCCACCTAAGCTCCAAACCGTTTCTTGAAAATAAATGGTCTTTTCCTCTACATGCAATTTATATATAGCACTTCATTAATTTTTTTTTTTCTTGAGACAGAGTCTTGCTCTGTCACCCAGGCTGGAGTGCAATGGCACTATCTCGGCGGCTCACTGCAACCTCCACCTCCCAGGTTCAAGCCATTCTCCTGCCTCAGCCTCCCAAGTAGCTGGGATTACATGTCTGCACCACCACGTCCAGCTAATTTGTGTATTTTAGTAGAGGTGAGTTTTCACCATGTTGGTTTTGCCACGCTCTCAAACTCCTCACCTCAAGTGATCTGCCCACCTTATCTTCCCAAAGTGCTAGGATTGCTTTATATCAGAATTATTCACATGACTATATCCACAAGACTGGGTACCCCTTGAAGGAAGGATTAATATGCCTTGTATATCACAGAGGCTCAATAAAGATTGAGTTAATTGGCTGGGCGCAGTGGCTCAAGCCTATAATCCCAGCACTTTGGGAGGCCGAGGGGGTTGGATCATGAGGTCAACAGATCGAGACCATCCTGGTCAATATGGTGAAACCCCGTCTCTACTCAAAATACAAAAAGTTAGCTGGGGATGGTGGCGCGTGCCTGTAATCCCAGCTACTCAGGAGGCTGAGGCAGGAGAATTGCCTGAACCCAGGAGGCGGAGGTTGCGGTGAGCTGAGATCGTGCCATTGTACTCCAGCCTGGGGTAACAAGAGCGAAACTCCATCTCAAAAAAAAAAAGATTCAGTTAATTGAATTGAGACTCAGAGAAGTTAAGTGCCTGCTTAAGATCACATAGCTAATGGATGATCTGGGAGTCCACCCTTCTGACTCCAAATCCAGTATGCTAAAAGCTACATTGGGTTTCTCAGGTACCTACTTCAGTTTGCACTTAAGCTACAGGGCTCTATGGGTCTACCTGGTAAAAAAGTCCCTTGAACAATGTTGCAAAATCAAGTAAACTACACACCCAAACGTCTCTCCTTAAAGGTCCATTAAGATGAGGCATGGGCCTTGATCCCTAGCAACTCCCTTGCCTATCAAGCCTGGATCCAGCTAAGGCTCAGACCTGGGGAACTGAGATATCTTACTTAGAAGGTTAAGGGAATAACTGAAGTGAGGGTAGTGAGGGTGGGGCTCTGAGACACCATCCTTTTCTTTTCATGTTTCTTGTTTGTTTGTTTGATGTTTTGTTTCTTTCTTTGTATCTGCCTTGTTGCCCAGGCTGGTTTCAAACTCCTGACCTCAAGAGATCAGCCTTCTAAAATGCTGAGATTACAGGTGTGAGCCTCCAACAGTGCAGGCCAACCATCCTTTTCTTAACAGTTTTTAATTAGTTTGCCAATCTGTGCTGTGTGTATTCCTATACAGTGACTAATGCTATGACGGAGGGTACACAGCATGAGGGGCACTGTACACATCCTTAGAATTCCACCCTGGATCCTCTTCTCTATATAACTTCTCGAGTGACTGCATCCTTTATGACTAAATTTACTATAACTAAAATAAAGATATATCTCTATATCTTAATCAGGTTGCTGAGAGACTTTAAAATAAATTGTCCTTTTTATTTAGGTACTATTTTATTTTTCACTTTATTTATTTATTTATTTTGGAGACAAAGTCTCTCTCTGTCGCCCAGGCTGGAGTGCAATGGTGTGATCTCGGCTCACTGTAACCTCTGCCTCCTGGGTTCAAGCGATTCTCCTGCCTCAGCCTCCTGGGGTAGCTGGGATTACAAACATGCGCCACCATGCCTGGCTAATTTTGTATTTTTAGTAGAGACAGGGTTTCACCATGTTGGCCAGGCTGGTCTCAAACTCCTGACCTTGTGTGATCTGCCTGCCTTGGCCTCCCAGTGTTGGGATTACAGGCGTGAGCCACTGCGCCTGGCCATACTTAAAACTCTTAAAAAGCTTTCCCATCATTATTCTCTTAATAGGAACTCCTATCATTTTTATTTTATAGGAGAGTAATCTGAAATGTAAGGTGACTTGCCTGTTATTACAAAGCTTCTCAATGGCAGAGCCAAATCTGAGTCCCAAACTAATGACCTCACTGCAAAACTCAGTTTTTCAAGTAAGAAGTCTATGCCCTTATCTAAAGACTGAAGTCTTTCTATCTTTTTCTTTTTTTTTTTTTTAAATAGAGACAGGGTTTCACCATGTTGACCAGGATGGTCTCGATCTCTTGACCTGATGATCCACCCGCCTTGGCCTCCCAAAGTGCTGGGATTATAGGTGTGAGCCACTGCACCCGGCCGGTCTTTCTATATTTTCTTCTTTTTTGAGATAGGGTCATGCTTTGTTGCTTAGGCTGAGTGTAGTGGCACCATTATGGCTCACTGCAGGCTCCACCTGGGTTCAAACCAGCCACCTGCCTCAGTCCCCCATCTCAGCCTCCTGAGTAGCTGGGATTATAGGCAAGTGCTACCACATCCAGCTAATTCTTTTTGTTTTGTTTTGTAGAGATGGGGACTCACTTTGTGGCCCAGGCTGATCTTGAACTCCTGGCCTCAAGTGGTTCTTCTGCCTTGGTCTCCCACAGTACTGGGATTACAGGCATCAGCCACTGTGCCAGACCCATTTTTTTCTTCTTTTAAACTGAGAATGTTATCATAAAACTGTGTAAAATGATATGACTATAAAATTACAGGTTCCAGCCTCCAAATGATTCTCATCACTGCCCAGCAATCCTTCCAAATTTCTTTCCCTAGCCCCCGCTTTTGCAAGAGCTATTTAAATCTCCTCTCTTCAAGATTCCTACTCTACCAACTGCCCTTCCCCATGCTCAGGAAAAAGAATATTCTCTTTCCTCATCTTGAGAACTCCCTCAACTTTCTCCTTATCTTCTCCTCTTCAAACTTACCTACATTTGAACTTTTCCTTGCCATTTACCCTCGCATCACAAAGGAACTTGTTGAAGGTTAGTGTCTCTCCCTAGGCTCTGGTTTCCATCTCACCCGGTCTCCTGAGGAAGCTCCATCACTACTAGTCCCTTTCCTGTATCTTCACCCCCTCCCTCTCTTCTGGCTGTTTTCCACAAAAATTATTTCAAGCTGACTGGGTGCAGTGGCTCATGTCTGTAATCCCAGCACTTTGGGAGGGCGAGGTGGGCGGATCACGAGGTCAAGAATTTGAGACCAGTCTGACCAACATGGTGAAACCCCATCCCTACCAAAATACAAAAAAAATTAGCCGGGTATGATGGTGCACGCCTGTAGCGCCAGCTACTTGAGAGGCTGAGGGAGAATCACTTAAACCTGGGAGGCAGAGGTTGCCGTGAGCCAAGGTTGCGCCATTGCACTCCAGCCTGGGTGACAGAGTGAGACTTCATCTCAAAAAAAATTCCACCCTGGATACTCTTCTATGTAACTTCTTAGGTAACTGCATCCTTTATGACTAAATTTACTATAATTAAAGTTGCTATCAGCCAGGCACAGTGGCTCATGGCTGTAATCCCAGCACTTTGGAAGGTTGAGATGGGAGGATCACCTGAGTCCAGGAATTTGAGGCCAGCCTAGACAACATGGCAAGACCACGTCTCTACAATAAATAAATAAATAAAATAAAATCACTATCCATATGCTGATTGATATGAGCTGAATGTGTCCCCCAAAATTCATGTGTTGGAAACATAATCCCCAATGCCAATAGTGTTGGGAAGTAGGGTCTTTTGAGAGGTGTTTAGGTCTCAAGGGTGCTACCATTCTCACTAATACATTAATGGCCTATAAAAAAAAAAAAAAAAGAAAGAGTTCATCCTTCTTTGCCTTTCCACCTTCTGTCATGTGAAGGCACTGAATTTAAAGCACCATCTTGGAAGTAGGGACCAGACCTTCACCAGACACCAAATGCCAGCACCCTGATTTTAGACTTTTCAGCCTTGGACTTCTCAGCCTCCAGAACTATGAGAAATATATTTATGTTCTTTTTTTTTTTTTTTTTTTGAGATGGAGTTTCGCTCTTGTTACCCAGAGTGGAGTGCAATGGCGCGATCTCAGCTCACTGCAACCTCCGCCTTCTGGGTTCAAGCAATTCTCCTGCCTCAGCCTCCCGAGTAGCTGGGACTACAGGCATGCACCACCATGCCCAGCTAATTTTTGTATTTTGTATTTTTAGTAGAGACAGGGTTTCACCTTGTTGACCAGGATGGTCTCGATCTCTTGACCTCGTGATCCACCCACCTCGGCCTCCCAAAGTGCTGGGATTATAGGCATAAGCCACCGCACTCGGCCCTTTTTTTTTTTTTTAAGACAGGCTTTCACCATGTTGGTCAGGCTGGTCTTGAACTCCCGACTTCAGGAGATCCGCTCGCCTTGGCCTCCAAAGTGCTTGGATTACAGGCATGAGCCACCACACCCAGCCTATGTTCTTTTTTTTTTTTTTTTTGAGACAAGTTCTCACTTTGTCCCCCAGGCTGGAGTGCAGTGGCGCAATCATGACTCTGTAGCGTTGACCTCCCAGGATCAAGTGATCCTCCCACCTCAGCCTTCCTACAGGCACATGCCACCATGCCCAGCTAATTTTTCGACTTTTTGTAAAGTCAGGGTCTCCCTATGTTGCCCGGGCTGGTCTCAAAACTCCTGGGTTCAAGAGAACCATCCGCCTCAGCCTCCCAAAGTACTGGGATTGTAGGCATGAGCCACCACATCCAGCAATTTCTGCTCTTTATAAACAGTATTCTGTTAATAGCAGATCAAGAGACTGATGACTACCAAAAATTTTCTTTTTTTTTTTTTTTTTGGCGACAGAATCTTGCTCTGTCACCCAGGGTGGAGTGCAGTGGTGCGATCTCAGCTCACTGCAACCTCCGCCTCTTTGGTTCAAGTGATTCTCCTGCCTCAGCCTCCCCAGTAGCTAGGATTACAGGCACATGCCACCATGACCTGCTGATTTTTTGTATTTTTACTAGAGACAGGGTTTCATCATGTTAGCCAGGATGGTCTCAATTTCCTGACCTCATGATCCACCCACCTTGGCCTCCCAAACTGCTGGGATTACAGGAATGAGCCACCGCGCCCAACCAAAATTTCTATCTTCTAAACTGCCTACTGGATGCCTCTATTTGGATGTCCCCTAAACATCTTAACAGTTATCAATAGCTATTTCTAAAAAAAACAAAAAACAATGGCTTAGGCCTGTAATCCCAGCACTTTGGGAGGCCGAGGTGGCAGGATTGCTTGAGGCCAGGCCCAGGAGTTCAAGACCAGCCTGGGTAATATATTGAGACCCTGTCTCTAGAAATTAAAAGAAAAAAAAAGTTATCAACTGACATGGCATTCTCCAAACCTCTAAACACTCACTATCAAATTGCCAACACCAGATGCTGGGCACTGTGGCTCATGCCTGTAATCCTAGCACTTTGGGAGGCTGAGGCAGGCAGACCACTGGAGGTCAGGAGTTTAAGACCAGCCTGGCCAATATGGTGAAACCCCATCTATAATAAAAATATAAAAATTAGCCAGGCATGGTGGTACACACCTGTAATTCCAGCAACTCAGGAGGCTGAAGCAGGAGAATCCCTTGAATCCGAGAGGTGGAGGTTGCAGTTGCAGTGAGCCAAGATCATGCTACTGTACTCTCACCTGGGTGACGAAGCTAGATTCCATCTCGGAAAAAAAAAAAAAAAATTGCCCACACCAGGAACTTGGGATCCATGTCTTCTCCCTTACCCCTACAGTCATGAACTTCTTTTTTTTGTTTGTTTTTGTTTTTTTGAGACAGAGTCTCGCTCTGTCGCCCAGGCTGGAGTGCAGTGGCGTGATATTGGCTCACTACAACCTTTGCCTCCCAGGTTCAAGCGATTCTCCTGCCTCAGCCTCCTGAGTAGCTGAGATTACAGGCACGTGCCACCATGCCCAGCTAATTTTTGTATTTTTAGTAGAGATGGGGTCTCGACATGTTAGTCACCCATGATCCACCTGCCTCAGCCTCCCAAAGTGCTGGGATTACAGGTGTGAGCCACCTCACCAAGCCTAATTTTTGTATTTTTAGTGGAGACGGGGTTTCACTATGTTGGTCAGGCTGGTCTTGAACTCCTGGCCTCAAGTGATCTGCCTGCCTCGGCCTCCCAAAGTACTGGGATTAAAGGAGTGAGCCAGAGCACCCGGCCCCCATGACTTTAATTTCTAAGGTATGAACCTGATGATGTCACTAACCTGCATAAAACTTCAATCATTCACAAGTGCCCTCAATAAAGTCCAACTTCCTTGGGACAGCATGCCCAGCCCTTCATGGTCTGGTCCCTATTTACAACTCTTTTTTTTTTTTTTTTTTTTGCGACAGTTTCACTCTTGTCACCTAGGCTGAAGTGCAATGGCGTGATCTCAGCTCACTGCAACCTCTGCCTCCCAGGTTCTAAGGGATTCTCCTGCCTCAGGCTCCAGAGTAGCTGGGATTACAGGCACACACCACCATGCCTGGCTGGTCCCTATTTATTTCTGCAGCCTCATTATTTGCAACCCTTCCCTCGTCCCTGCTCCCCACCTTCTACACTAGGCCCCCAAATCTATGCCTCAGCCATACTGTTACAAAGCCTGTCTTTCTTCCTCTTTCTTTCTTTGAGACAAGAGTCTCCCTCTTTTTTTTTTTTTTTTTTTTTTTTTTTTGAGACAGCCTCCCTCTGTGGCCCAGGCTGAAGTCCAGTGGCCTGATCTCATCTCACTGCAACCTCCACCTCCTGAGTTCAAGCAATTCTCTTGCCTCAGCCTCCCAAGCAGTTGGGATTATAGGCACGTGCCACCACGCCTGGCTACTTTTTATATTTTTTGCAGAGGCAGGGTTTTGTCATGTTGGCCAGGCTGGTCTCAAATTCTTGACTTCAAGTGATCCACTCGCCTTGGCCTCCCAAAGTGCTGGGATTACAGGCGTGAGCCACCGTGCCCGGTCAAATGATTGTTTTTCAAAGGTGTTGTCCTCTTTCTTGTCTCTGAACTTGCTGTTATGTTTGCCTTTCCCGTGCCTGGCTAAGAACTCCTGTTTTTCAGGACCTAACTGAGATGGTCCTGAAATGTCCCCTCCTTCGCTGACTCCACAGGTGGAGTTCAGTGCCTCTAATCTGTGTTCCCCTAACACTCTGAGCTCTGACAAGGAGAGAACTTCGGTCGTTGGGAAGGGTGACCCGATCATCCCCACGGCCCCAGCCCTTCAACACTTTCTCGAACACAGTAACCAGTTTGAGAGATCAAGTGAGAAGTGTGTTCTAACAGGTTGCATCCTTCTCCTTGCAACCCCAGGCGCCCCAACGTCACAGCAGCAACCGCAGGCCCAGCTCAGAGGCTGGGGGAGGGGAGGCGGGCGACCAGTCGTGCACGACTCTTCCCTCAGAAAAGATGAGGAAGGGACGGGGCAGGGAAGAGCTTTGGGTTCTCGGCTGGAAAATTTATCCTCGCAGCCGTCTCCATCAGATCCAGCCTCCCCTCTAGGAGTCCCACTCAAACTCTCCGTATCGGACTTCCTCAGAATCTCTCCACCAAGATTATCTCAGGCTTCCCCCACGCGATCCCCTCTTGGTCTCAGCCTCGATCTTCTTTTCTCGCAGCCTCCTCCCTCAGCCTCGACTTCCCCCTCGCAGCCTCCTCTCCGAGCCTCTCCCCAGCGCCTCAGCCTCCCGCAGCCTCCCCTCGGCGCTCCAGCCTCAGCCTCCAGGTCCCGGGTCCGGCCCGGCCCGGCCCCGCCCCCGCCGCGAGGACGGTGCTCACCGTCGTAGTAGTAACAGACTTTCCTCCGGGTGCCCTGCGTCTGCGCCATCTTGCTCGCCTCCCGTCCCTCCCGTCAGTCGGTCCGTCAGCCCTCCCGCCCGCGGCTCCGCTCAGCGTCCGACCCAGGGGGGAGGGGGCGGGTCTCCGGCCCGCCCCGCCCGTCCCCTCCTGGGCTCACCTATAGACGCGCAGCCCGGGCACCGCTCCAGCCAATCAGCTTGCGCAGACACGGGCCCGGAACTCGGCAGGGGGCAAGGGCAGCCTGGAGAAGCGGCTAAAGGCCCCCTGGGCCTGTACCAAGGTCTGCGACAGATGGGTGGGGAGCCGCCCGGGGACCGTACCATCACTCCCGGGGGAGGAAAGCAGCTTGGTAAACTTAGGCCCACTTCGTCGTGGGAAACGTGCTTGGAGATCGGAGGCCAACTTTCTGATTTTACGGAGAATAAACCGAGGCCTACAGGGGAAAAGTGACTTGCACAAGGTCACTCCGCCAATAAACGGGCTGAACCTGGGTTAGAAAGCGAGTTTGTCACCGCAAAGGAGGGCTACAGACAAATAATTAAAAATTGAAAAGAAAAGCAACACGCGGGTTTGGAGAGGGAGAAACTGACAAGAAAGGGAAAGAAAACTAATGTTTTTTCGAGGGGCTGCTGTGAGCCAAGTACTGTGCGACAGCTTTAACTGTTATTTCAGTTATTCCTCAAAACAGCTCTCGGTCAAGGGTTTTTACTTCCATTTTACAGGTTAGGAAAAAGAAGTTCGGACTTCTGTGAATTACTCCAAGTTACACAAGGTAATTAAATTCAATTTTTCAATTGTTGAGGATTTTTTGAATGCCTTCTTTGCACCAGAGGCTCTGTAAAAAAGTGACAGAACCCAGCCTTTCTGACTCCAAAACCTACCTCCGTGATTCAGTCACCCAGGATGACTAAGTAGGAGTCTCTTTAGACAGGAGAAAATGGGATTATCCCGCGATAGGAGGGCAGGTTTCTCAGCCTGGAAACTAATGACATTTTGAGCCGGGTAATTCGTTGTTATAGGACGCTGTTCTGTGCATTATAGGAAGTCTACCGGCATCCCTGGCCTCTACCCACTAGATGCCAGTAGCACCCTCCCCCCAGGCTGTGACAACCAAAATTGTCTCCAGACATTGCCAAGTACTGTGCAATAGCTTTACCATTGGGTTGGGGGAATATTAGCCAGGTATAAGGGAGTGTAAAATTGACCCCAACTCTCCTATTGAGAACCACTCCACCAGATCATCAATTACCAACTGATCATCATTGAAAGCTAAAAAACCAGGGCTGGGCGAGGTGGCTCACACCTGGGATCCTAGCACTTTTGGAGGCCGAGGCGGGTGGATCACGAGGTCAAGAGATCCGGAGTATCCTGACCAACATGATGAAATGCTGTCTCTACTAAAAACACAAAAATTAGCTGGGCATGGTGGCACACCCTATACTCCCAGCTACTTAGGAGGCTGAGGCAGAATCGCTTTAACCCGGGAGGCAGCGGTTGCAGTGAGCTGAGATCACCGCACTCACTACATTCCAGCCTGGTGACAGAGTGACACTCTGTCTCAAAAAAAAAAAAAAAAAAGAAAGAAAGCTGAAAGACCTAAAAGTGCTATGCTAGGCTACTAAAAGAACTACAATAATGTCAGTATTTAATGAGTGCTTCCTATATGCCAACACTGTGCTAAGTTAGCTACCTACTTGTGACCCTACAGTCAACAAGAGGCTGGGCACTGTGGCTTACACTTGTAATCCCAAAACTTTGGAAGGCCGAGGCTGGTGGATCACTTGAGCTCACAAGTTCAAGACCAGCTTGGGCAGCATGGCAAAAACCCATCTCTATACAAAATAGAAAAGTTACCCAGGTGTGCGGGCACTCCTGTAGTTCCAGCTACTCAGGAGACTGAGGTGGGAGGACTGCTCGAGCCCTCGAGACAGATGTTACAGTAAGCCAAGATCACACCATTGCAGTCCAGCCTGTGAAATAGAGCCAGACCTTGTCTCAAAAAAAAAAAATGATACATCTTTATGCCACTTTAAAGAATGTTTGGGACTTGTGTTCCTCACTCAGAAACTGCATTCGAGTCATTAATTATAAGGTAAGAGATAATCTAAGACTGGGCGGCTCTATAATAGAAACAGAAAAGGGCCAGGGAACAAATTCTACTCCCAATTTTCTGTTGCTAATTCTCAGCTAGCCCTGAGTGGGTCTGCTTAACTGTTCTGGGCCTCCATTTCCCTCCCTATAAAATGGGGAGGAGGCCAGGCACAGTGGCTCACGTCTATAATCCCAGTGTGATTATCCTGGGATTGCTAATCACTTGGGAGGCTGAGGCAGGTAGATCACCTGAGGTCAGGAGTTCAAGACCAGGCTGGCCAACATCGTGAAACCCCATATCTACTAAAAATACAAAAAGTAGCCGGGCGCGGTGGCTCAAGCCTGTAATCCCAGCACGTTGGGGGGCCGAGGCGGGTGGATCGCGAGGTCAAGAGATCAAGACCATCCTGGTCAACATGTTGAAATCCCGTCTCTACTCAAAATACAAAAAATTAGCTGGGCATGGTGGTGCGTGCCTGTAATCCCAGGTACTCAGGAGGCTGAGGCAGGAGAATTGCCTGAACCCAGGAGGCGGAGGTTGCGGTGAGCTGAGATCGCGCCATTGCACTCCAGCCTGGGTAACAAGAGCGAAACTCCGTCTCAAAAAAAAAAAATACAAAAAGTAATTGGACATGGTGGTACATGTCTGTAATCCCAGCTACTTGAGAGGCTGTGGTAGGAGAATTGCTTGAACCCGGGAGGTGGAGGTTGCAGTGAGCCGAGATCAAGCCACTGCACTCCAGCCTGGATGACAGAGTGAGACTCTGTCTCAAAAAAATAGAATAAGGCTGGGCGCAGTGGCTCACATCTGTAATCCCAGCACTTTGGGAGGCCGAGGCGGGTGGAACACCTGAGGTCAGGAGTTTGAGACCAGACTGACCAATATGGTAAAACCCCGTCTCTATTAAAAAAAATAAATAAAATAATAAAAATGGGGAGGATAGGAAGACAAAGTTCACTGACGCTATGGCTGCGCACAGTATCCCAAAGCAAAGGTGTGTGGGGATCAGATGAGATCATGAGGTGTGGCAGCAGGTCAGTCAGGTAACAGATTTATATTATTATGACTCAGATGCCCTTTGTTTGTATATTTTAAAAATTAAAGGACGGGGCCAAGCACGGTGGCTCATGCTTGTAATCTCAGCACTTTGGGAGGCCAAGGTGGGCAGGTCACGGAGTCAGGAGGAGTTCAAGACCATCCTGGCCAGCATGGTGAAACCGCATCTCTACTAAAAGTACAAAAATTAGCTAGGTGTGGTCGCGTGCACCTGGAGTCCCAGCTACTTGGGAAGCTGAGGCAGGAGAATCCCTTGAACCTGGGAGGCGGAGGTTGCAGTGAGCTGAGATCACCCCATTGCACTCCAGCCTGGTGACAGAGCAAGATGTCATTTCAAAAAAAAGAAAAAAAAATTAGAGGATGGGTATTGTGGCTCACACCTGTAATCCCAGCACTTTGGGAGACCAAGGCGGCCAGATCACCTGAGGTCAGGAGTTCAAGATCACCCTGGACAACATGGTGAAACCCCATTTCTACTAAAAATACAAAAATTAGCCAGGCATGGTGGCAGGACCCTATAATCAATCCCAGCTACTTGGGAGGCTGATGCAGAAGAATCACTTGAACCCAGGAGGTGGAGGTTGCAGTGAGCCAAGAACATGCCATTGCACTCCAGCCAGGGTGGCAAGAGCAAAACTCTGTCTCAAAAATAAAATAAAATAAAATAGCCGGGCGCGGTGGCTCACGCCTGTAATCCCAGCACTTTGGGAGGCCGAGGCGGGTGGATCACAAGGTCAAGAGATGGAGACCCTCCTGGGCAACATGGTGAAACCCCGTCTCTACTAAAAATACAAAAAATTAGCTGGGCATGGTGGCACGTGCCTGTAATCCCAGCTACTCAGGAGGCTGAGGCAGGAGAATTGCCTGAACCCAGGAGGCGGAGGTTGCAGTGAGCCGAGATCACGCCATTGCACTCCAGCCTGGGTAACAAGAGCAAAACTCTGTCTCAAAATAAATAAATAAATAATAATAAATAAAATAAAAATAATTTAAAAAATAGATTACTTTCCCTTTCATAAAGAAATGTAACATTCCCCCATCTTTCATGCAACACCCTGCCATCCTCAGGTATCTTTAATTTTCTCACTGTTTAATGGAAATGCGGGTGCCAAAAATTTTTTTTATTTTTCTCTTTATTATAAGAACAACAGACAGGGCACCGGTGGCTCACGCCTGTAATCCCAACATTTTGTGAGACTGAGGCGCCAGATCACCAGGGTAGGAGTTTGAGACCAGCCTGACCAACATGGTGAAACCCCGTCTTTACTAAAAATACAAAAATTAGCTGGGCATGATGGTGCGAGCCTGTAATCCCAGCTACTCAGGAGGCTGAGGCAGGAGAATTGCTTGTATCTAGGAGGCAGAGGTTGCAGTGAGCCAAGATCGTGCCACTGCACCCCAGCCTCAGCAACAGAGTGAATCTCTGTCTCTCCGTCTCAAAAAAAAAAAAAAAAAAAGCACAAGCTTGATGATAAATAGTTACTAATACTCAGTTTCATTGTCTAAGAGCAGCAGGGAGTAGAGGGAACTCTGGCAAAGTTAGAGTTCATGCCCTACCTGAAGAGGTGGCCACTATTTACTATTCGACTCCATGAGGACAGGTAAGCCCAACATAGCTAAATCTTCCTTGTTTTTTTTGAGATGGAGTTTCACTCTTGTTACCCAGGCTGGAGTGCAATGGCGCGATCTCGGCTCACCGCAACCTCCGCCTTCTGGGTTCAGGCAATTCTCCTGCCTCAGCCTCCTGATTAGCCGGGATTACAGGCATGCACCACCATGCCCAGCTAATTTTTTGTATTTTTAGTAGAAACGGGGTTTCACTATGTTGACCAGGATGGTCTTGATCTCTTGACCTCATGATCCACCCGCCTCGGCCTCCCAAAGTGCTGGGATTACAGGCCTGAGCCACCGCGCCCGGCCTCCTTTTTTTTTAAGATGGGGTTTCACTCTCTATTTTGCTCAGGCTGGAGTACAGTGGCACAATCATGGCTCACTGCAGCCTTGACCTCCTGGGCTCAAGCCATCCTCCAAGTAGCTGGGACTACAGGCGTGCACCACCACGCCCTGCTAATTTTTGTTTTGTTTTTTTTTTTGTAGAGACGGGGTTTTGCCATGTTGCCCAGTCTAGTCTGAAACTCCTGGGCTTAAGCAATCTGCCTGCTTTGGCCTTCCCAAATAGCTGGGATTACAGGAGTCAGCCAACATACCCAGCCCCTGTTTTTCAAGAGAAGGCAGAAATCTGGAGTTTTATGCAAAATCTCCCCAGTTTTATAAATTGACTAACTCAGTATATTTTCAAGATAGCAGTAAGAGCCATCCTTTTAAAATGTAAGTCAGGTCCAGACATGGTGCCTCACACCTCTAATCCCAGCACTTTGGAAGGCTGAGGCAGACGGATCACTTGAGCTCAGGAGTTCAAGACCAGCTTGGGCAAAATGGTGAAACCCTGTCTCCATCAAAAATACAAAAAAATTGGCCAAGAGTGGTGGTACACACCTGTGGTCCCAGCTACTTAGGAAGCTGAGGTAGGAGGATTGCTTGAGCCCTGGAGGCAGAGGCTGCAGTGAGCCGAGATTTCACCTTTTTTTTTTTTTGATTCATTATCAATGCAGAGAGATTTTGCCTTTGTACTCCAACCTGGGTGGCAGAGTGAGACCCCATCTCAATTAAAAATTAAAGAATAAAATGAAATGTAAGTCATTTCATATCAGTTTTGCAGAGATACCTGCAAGGTTTCCTCAAAATGGCTTCTGCAGAGGCCACAAGGCCCCAAGCCTGTAGGATCTATCCCCCTCTCTCAGAGCTTGCCAGGTAAAGGCCTGCCTCACCCTACTACCTTTGGCTGACTGCTTCTCCCCACCACCTGTACCGGGTGACTCACTCCTTCACTTTGGAATCTTTGCTCAAAAACCACCTTCTCAATGAAGCCTTTTTTTTTTTTTGAGATAGGATCTCCCTTTGTTGCCTATGCTGGAGTGCTGCAATGGCATAATCATAGCTCAAACAATCCTCTTGCCTCAGGCTCCTGATCTGCTGGGACTACAAGTGTGAGCTAATATGCTTGACTAAGTGTGTTTGGTTTTTTTAAATTGTTATTTATTTATTTATTTTGAAACAGAGTTTCGCTCTGTCACCAGGTGCCAGGCTGGAGTGCAGTGGCACAATCTCAGCTCACTGAAACTTCCACCTCCCAGGTTCAAGCAATCCTCCTGCCCCAGTCTCCCTAATAGCTGGAACAACAGGTACGTGCCACCATGCCCAGCTAATTTTTGTATTTTTTTAGTAGAGATGGGATTTCACCATGTTGGCCAGGACGGTCTCAATCTCTTGACCTCGTGATCCACCCTCCTTGACCTCCCAAAGTGCTGGGATTACAGGCATGAGCCACTGCGCCCAGCCTGTGTTTGGTTTATTTATTTATTTATTTATTTATTTATTTATTTATTTATTCAGACGGAGTTTCACTCGTTACCCAGGCTGGAGTGCAATGGCACGATCTCAGCTCACTGCAACCTACGCCTCCTGGGTTCAGGCAATTCTCCTGCCTCAGCCTCCTGAGTAGCTGGGATCACAGGCACACACCACCATGCCAAGCTAATTTTTTGTATTTTTAGTAAAGACGGGGTTTCACCATGTTGACCAGGATGGTCTCGATCTGTTGACTTCGTGATCCACCCGCCTCAGCCTCCCCAAGTGCTGGGATTACAGGCTTGAGCCACCACGCCCGGACATGTTTGGTTTTTTTAAAACTTTTTTTGGGCCGGGTGTAGTGGCTCACGCCTGTAATCCAAGCACTTTGGAGGCCAAGGCGGGCTGATCACCTGAGGTCAAGAGTTCAAGACCAGCCTGACCAACACGGTGAAACCCTGTCTTTAAAAAAAACAAACAAACTTTTTTTGGAGACCAGGATCTCACTCTGTTGTCCAGGCTAGCCTTGAACTCTGGCCTCAAGCAAGTAGTCCCAGGTGCTCAGGAGGTTGAGACAGGAGGATCATTTCAGCTGGAGAAGTCAAGGCTACAGTGAGCCATGATCGTGCCACTGCACTTCAGCCTAGATGACAAAGTAAGACCCTGTCTCAAAAAAAAAAAAAAAAAATCTGAGGATAGTTACAGATTTCTTTGTTCCTCCTCCATTCCCACTGCTTCATTTGACTAATCTTTTTTTTATAATTTTTTTTTTTGAGACAGAGTTTCACTCTGTCACCAGGCTGGAGTACAGAGGCATGATCTCAGCTCACTGCAACCTCCGCTTCCCAGGTTCAAGCAATTCTCCTGCCTCAGCCTCCTGAGTGGCTGGAACTACAGGCACGTGCCACCTTGCCCAGCTAAATTTGACTAGTCTTCAAAAACAAAATCTGAAGTCAAATATAGCCCTTGAATCAGTAAAAAATGCTGTTGCCCTTTTATAATAGGGAGGAAGTTCCTGTGACATACCTACTCCCTAAGGGATTCCAGGTAGGAGTCACCCTGAATCCTTTGCGGGGAGGTGAGGAGCACTGTCCCATTTAAAGGGGTCTGCAAAGCCCACGCAGCAGGATGGCATGGACCTCCTCTTGATCACCAGCATCACCAGGGCTGGAAAATATCCAGATATCCACTCACCCCATCTTTCACCCCAACTCAGGGTGACCTCATTACCATTTTCTGAACCCCCACTGCCCACCCACAAAGAATGGACAGCAAAGAGATGTACAACAGTCATCAATAGACATTTATTGAGCTCCTGATGTGTGCCAGGCCAGGCACCAAGGAGGAGTACAAAGAGGTATTAGATAAGGTCCTGGCCCTCGAGGAACTTCTGGATGATCTGAGAAAAGAAAAGTAGGTGGGCAGAAGCTTCTGTCAATCCCAGGCTTTTCCCCTCCCTCTGTGGTTTCAGGAAAATGGAAGAGCCAGAAAGGTATACCTTGGACAGTGTCCAAGACATACATGCACAGGCTACACATGTACAAGAGACATGTGCAGAGTCCACGCCACTACAGGACACAAGTACAGACACAAGGTGGGTATGTGTCACACGTGGGCAGGATTCGTGTGTAGAGTCCATATGTGCATAGACCATGTGAGTATGGCATAAGAACTCCATCTCCCCAAGCCAGGCTGGAGAAATGGGGGCAGGACCCCAGGGCCTCTCAAGGCCTCTCAAGGCTGAGGCTGGTATTGGCCCTCTGTGGCTGTGAAGAAGTCCTCCAGCACACTGCGCAGGTAGTCAAAGGTGGGCCGGTCCTCTGGGCGCTCCTTCCAACACAGCATCATGAGGTGGTACAGCTCCTCTGGACAGTTGTCAGGGCGCACCATGCGGTAACCTCGCTCCAGGTTCTGAATCACCTCAGGGTTGGTCATCCCTAGGGGTTGACGGGAGAAAGGACATCAAGGCTCCAGGCACTGGAAGCCTGCAGGCAGGGGTAATGTTTGGAATATTTTATTGGCACAGTGTAAGCACCAATCCAAAAGAATCCTGGTCTACATCAATGGTAAGGCCACACTAGCAGTACTTGCTGAATGTCAGTCAGGCCACTTGTAGTGCCTGGTATAGATTATTCACTTTTTTTTTTTTTTTTTTTTTGGAGAAGGAGTTTCCCTCTTATTGCCCAGGCTGGAGTGCAGTGGTGCAGTCTCGGCTCACCGAAACCTCCTCCTCCCAGGTTCCAGTGATTCTCCTGCCTCAGCCTCCCAAGTGGCTGGGATTACAGACATGTGCCACCATGCCCAGCTAATTTTGGTTTTTTTTGAGACAGAGTTTCGCTCTTGTTACCCAGGCTGGAGTGCAATGGCGTGATCTCGGCTCACCGCAACCTCCTTCTCCTGGGTTCAGGCAATTCTGCTGCCTCAGTCTCCTGAGTAGCTGGGATTACAGGCATGCATCACCATGCCCAGTTAATTTTTTGTATTTTTAGTAGAGACGGGGTTTCACCATGTTGACCAGGATGGTCTCGATCTCTTGACCTCGTGATCCACCCACCTCGGCCTCCCAAAGTGCTGGGATTACAGGCGTGAGCCACCACACTTGGCTGATTATTTACTTAAAAAAAAAAATTGTTTTAGACCGGGCGTGGTGGCTCACACCTGTAATCCAAGCACTTTGGAGGCCAAGGCGGGCGGATCACCTGAGGTCAGGAATTCAAGACCAGCCTGACCAACGTGGTGAGATCCCATCTTTAAAAAAAAAAAATTGTTTTAGATAAGGGATCTCGCTATGTTGCCCAAGCTGAAGTGCAGTGGCTGCTCACAGGCACAATCATAGCACATTGCAGATTTGAACTCCCGGGCTCGAGGAATCCTCTCACCTCAGCCTCCTAAATAGCTGGACAACAGGTGCATGCCACCATGACCAGTTCCCCTGGTATAGATTAAATGCTCAATAATACACACATATTAGTTGTGGGACCTTGGGCAAGCCCAGTTTCCTTATTTAGAAAATAGAGTAAATAGCTGTTCCTACCTCACAGAATTGTTATGAGGATTGAATGAGATTGTGCACAGAAAGCATCAAATATAGTGCACAGGCCAGGCATGATGGCTCACACCTACAATCCCAGCACTTTGGGAGGCCAAAGCAGGCAGATCACTTGAGGCTAGAAGTTCAAGACCAGCCTGACTAATATGGCAAAACCTCATCTCTACTAAAAATACAAAAATTGAGCTGGGCATGGTGGTGCATGCCTGTAATCCCAGCTACTCAGGAGGCTGAGGCAGAAGAATTGCCTGAACCCAGGAGGTGGAGGTTGCGGTGAGCCGAGATCGCACCATTGCACTCCAGCCTGGGTAACAAGAGCGAAACTCCATCTCAAAAAAAAAAAAAAGAAAAGAAAAAATAAATACAAAAATTAAGCAGGCATGGTGGTACATGCCTGCAGTCTCAGCTACTTGGGAGGCTGAGGCACAAGAATTGCTTGAACCTGGGAGGCAGAGGTGCAGAGGTTATAGTGAGCTGAGACTGCGTCACTGCACTCCAACCTGAGCAACTCTAGCCAGACTCTTCTCTCAAAAAAAAAAAAAAAATATATATATATATATATACACACACACACATACACACATACACACACACACATATCTGGGCAACAGAGAGAGACTCGGTCTAAAATAAATAAATAAATATTTATTTATTTTAGACCTGGGATGATTATTATTTTGTGGGAATGATGAGACGGTCAGGGCGCAGGGCAGGATGGACACCCACAACCAAGGCAGTGGTGAAGTCTCTCCAGTTTTAAGACCAGGCACATCACATCCTGCATCAGGAAGCCACATGGACCCTGGGCCTCAGCAAAGTAGACCTTGCGGGTTGAGAAGGTTCACAAGGCCCCTCCATGATGCAGATGAAATAGTCTTTGAGATGGTTCCCTCCTTTTATGCTAGTCCTGGCCCCTCTGGCAGGCTTTTGGCAGGCGGACCCCAAGAAGAGCTGCTCTGAAGAACTGCATGATCACCCAGCAGTAACATAGCTCCCTCCTTCCCTGTTTCCAAATTGTCCGTGTAGTGTCTGGTTTTTCCTTCAGTCTACTGAACAAAGATTGTGACAAGCAGTTCCCAAAGACCAAAACCTTATAGGATACTGACAAAATAGAAGTTTTGCTCCCACAAAGCTTGGGACTAAAGCCTTGGGACCAGGCAGTCCACAGAGACCCTTCTTCCCCAGGACTTGTACAAGAGAGGCCTCTACCTATGAGACTCTCACATTTTAAAATTAGGGCATTGGAGGACGTAGGCCATGGAACTAAACACCCATGGCCAGAGTCAAGGATGCAAGCCCACAGGGCCCAAAGATCACTTTGGATTGGCCCTGGAGTGCTTTTATTTATTTGTATGTATATATGTATGTATTTTTGATATGGAGTCTCACTCTGTCGCCCAGACTGGAGTGCAATGGTGAAATCTCAGCTCACTACAACCTCCACCTCCTGAGTTCAAGCTATTCTCCTGCCTCAGCTTCCTGAGTAGCTGAAGCTACAGGTGCCCACCACCACGCTGGCTAATTTTTCTGTATTTTTAGTAGAGACAGGGTTTTTGGCCAGGCTGGTCTCAAACTCCTGATCTCGTGATCTGCCCACCTCAGCCTCCCAAAGTGCTGAGATTACAGGCGTAAGCCACCGTGCCCAGCCCCTAGAGTGCTTTTAAACAATTTGAATCAATCGCCAAAATTTGGAAATGAACAAATTTTCCTAAAACTCCAAGTTTTGGCTTCTCTTAAGAAAACAAAAGATCGGCCGGGCGCGGTGGCTCATGCCTGTAATCCCAGCACTTTGGGAGGCCGAGGCGGGTGGATCACGAGGTCAAGAGATCGAGACCATCCTGGTCAACATGGTGAAACCCCGTCTCTACTAAAAATACAAAAAAAAATTAGCTGGGCATTGTGGCGCGTGCCTGTAATCCCAGGTACTCAGGAGGCTGAGGCAGGAGAATTGCCTGAACCCAGGAGGCGGAGGTTGCGGTGAGCCGAGATTGCGCCATTGCACTACAGCCTGGATAATAAAGAGCGAAACTCCGTCTCAAAAAAAACCAAAAACCAAAAAACAAACCAAAAGATCAATTGTGGGGGGAGCATGCCTTAATTGCAGCCATCTGCTGCACAGCTGCAAGTTTACCAAGGTCCCCATTTCTCCCCATTGTCTCCCTGTCCCTAATGCTACATGTCAGTTGCCATTTATCATCATGCTTTCACTGCCTATTTTCTTCTAATAGAGACATTCCCTGTGGAGTTGCCTCTGTGGGCACAGAGGAGAAGCAATGAGGACCCCTGGCAGGATAACTGGAGAGTATTTCCAGCCCCAGCATTACCAGTGGACTCTGGGTTGGGGCAAGCCCAGGGAAGGGAAGCCCCTCGGCTTTTCATCGGTCTCCAAGGTGTCTTTACCTTCCTAAGAGCAAAGGTCTGTTCACCTTGCTCTGGGGATGTGGGAAGTTTCTACAAATTTAGCCACTATGCCCCATGGCCTCCCTACTCCTGTCTTTGTGCTGCATTTCCTTTCCCCAGAGTTTCTTAGCAAGTTCATTTAAAAAAAAAAAAAAAAAATCCATCCCTGTCTTGGCTGAATTCAGGGGTAAAGGGTTTTGTCCAGGAGATGGTGAGGGGTGTTAGTGTATACTGACCATCTACTATGAGTCAGCTTCTTTCACAAATGATCTCTCAATTTTCTTTGTCTCTCTCTCTTTTTTTTTGGGGGGGGTGTTTTGATTGTTTGTTTTTGAGGCAAGGTCTCCCTCTGTTGCTCAGGCTGGAGTGCAATGGAACGATCATGGCTCACTGCACCGTAAAACTCCTGGGCTCAAGCGATCCTCCCACCTCAGCCTCCCAAATAGCTGAAACTACAGATATGTGCCCAGCTAATTTTTAATTTTTTTTTGTAGAGATGAGGTCTCTCTCTCTCTCTCTCTCTCTCTCTCTCTCTCTCTCTCTCTCTCTCTCTCTCTCTCTCTTCTTTTTTTGAGACAGCGTCTTGCTCTGTTGCTCTAGGCTGGAGTGCTATGGCGTGGTCTTGGCTCACTACAACCTCTGTGTCAGGTGATCCTCACTTCTCAGCCTCCTGAGTAGCTGGGACTACAGGCACATGCCACCAAACCTGGCTAATTTTTGTTTTCGTAGAAATGGGGTTTCAACATGTTGCCCAGGCTGGTCTCGAACTCCTGGGCTCAAGTAATCTCCCACCTTGGTCTCCCAAGGTTCTGGGTATAGGCATGAGCCACTGTATCTGGCCTAGTCTCTTATTTTTCATATCAGGAAACTGAGGCTCGGAGAATTGAAGTGACTAGCCCAAAGTCATGATTGAGAAAGCTTAGTATGGACCAAACACTGTTCTAATCTCATTTAACAATGAGAAAAGAAGGAATGATCGATCAAAGCCAAACAGAAAGTTAGCAACAATGGCGGATGTGCTAATAAAAGGTAGGCCTCCAGCAGGACGGGGGTCATGCCTATAATCCCAGCACTTTGGGAGGCCAAGGCAGGTGGATCACAAGGTCAGAAAATCCAATCTTAGCTAACATGGTGAAACCTGTCTCTACTAAAAACACAAAAAATTAGCTGGGCGTAGTGGCAGGCACCTGTAGTCCCAGCTACTCAGGAGGCTGAGGCAGGAGAATCGCTTGAACCCAGGAAGTAGAGGTTGCAGTGAGCCAAGATCGTGCCACTGCACTCCACCCTGGGAGACAGAGCAAGACTCCGTCTCAAAAAAAAAAAAAAAGATAGGCCTCTTGCTCCTGAGCTAGATCCTCTTCTGCCATACTAGGCTACCTGGGCCAGAACTAAAGAAAAGAGCTGGGGTTGTTAAAAAGAGATACAGAGTTGGAAACCAGCCCTGGGAGATGTGGCATCTGCCTGAAGATGTTGGAGTCACACCCGTGAGAGGATAGAGGATATGCATCTACAAAGTTTCAGATTCTGAGACTGGAGAGAATTGAGCAGGAAGACAAGGACTTGCTGCCCTTTCCATCACCCTTTCAGTTCTTGCCCTTGGCTCTGACCTGGGTAAGGGATGCGGCCATGGGTGACAATTTCCGTCAGCAGGATTCCAAAAGACCACACATCCGACTTGATGGTGAATGTCCCGTAGTTAATGGCTTCTGGTGCTGTCCACTTAATGGGAAACTTGGCCCCTATGGAGGAGGCAGAGTGAGGTCACCTGGGTCTGCTGGGCCAGACCCTGTAGGGCCCAGACCATCCTTAAATCTCACACTTACCCTCCCTGGCTGTGTACTCGTTGTCCTCAATGAGGCGTGCTAGGCCAAAGTCTGCAATCTTGCAGCTCAGCGTGTCAGACACTAGAATGTTGGCGGCCCGAAGGTCACGATGAATATAATTCCGCTCTTCAATGAATGCCATGCCTTCTGCAATCTGCAGGCCAAACACAGATCAGCAGTCCTGAGCCAGACGTCCTCAAGCCACTGGCCTGTGCCCTTGCCCAGCCTCTCCCCAGTCTCCTTACTTGGGCTGCCATGTCCAAGAGTTTGTTGATGGTCAACTTGATACCTGAAGGGGTCTTGAGAAAATCCACTAGACTCCCTGCAGGCAGAAGCAAGAGTTGCTGGCCCAAGTTCTCCCAGGGGGAGGTCCCCAGACCCTTCTCCTCCAACGGGGCATCTAGAAGTGTGACTGACACATGAAAAGTGGGCTTGGTGCAGTGGCTCATGCCTGTAATCCCAGCACTTTGGGAGGCCGAGGTGGACAGATCATCAGGTCAGGAGATAGAGACCATCTTGGCTAACACAGTGAAACCCTGTCTCTACTAAAAATACAAAAAATTAGCCGAGTGTGGTGGCACGCACCTGTAGTCCCAGCTCTTCCGGAGGCTGAGGCAGGAGAATCACTTAAACCTGGGAGGCAGAAGTTGCAGTGATTGCCAAGACTGTGCCACTGCACTCCAGCCTGGGTGACAGAGCAAGACTCCATCTCAAAAAAAAAAGGCGGCCGGGCGCAGTGGCTCAGGCCTGTGTTTCTAACACTTTGGGAGGCCAAGGTGGGTGGATCACCTGAGGTCAGGAGTTTAAGACCAGCCTGGCCATCATGGTGAAACCCCATCTTTAAAAAAATTAAGAAAATTAAGAAAAGTAGTGAAAGAGTGAAGAGTGAGAATGGAGGAGTATGTGTTCAGGGTAAGGATGCCCAGGATATGTAAAGGTTTTTTCTGGAGGGGCTACGGTAGAGCATGGTGGGATAGAACTGTAGGTTTTTCATCACCAATAAGGTAGAACTGAGACTCCTCAACTAGTATCCAAATCTCTGCATGGCTCACACTGGTAGCTTCTTCTCTTTCCCCCACTCTGCCTTCGACTTCAAACACTTCAACAATTTTGAGATCCTGCATTCAGACCACTAGGCTCTCACCCCAAAGCCTCTCTGCCTGCTAGAAAAATTCTACTTTTCTGGCCAGGTGTGGTGGCTCATGCCTGTAATCTCAGCACTTTGGGAGTCTAAGGCGGGCAGCTCACCTGAGGTCAGGGGTTCGAGACCAGCCTGGACAATAAGGCGAAAACCCATCTCTACTAAAAATACAAAAATTAGCTGGGCGTGGTGGCATGTGCCTGTAGTCCCAGCTACTCAGGAGGCTGAGGCACGAGAATCACTTGAACCCAGGAGGCAGAGTTTGTGGTGAGCTGAGATCTCACTCCAGCCTGGAGGACAGAGAGAGACTCAAAAAAAAAAAAAAGATACACATGACATTATCTATTTGCCATTTCCCATTAGCCAATGAACAGCTTGTTTCCCTTCCCGGAAGAGGAACAGATCTTACACTCTCTAAGAATCAGAGCCAGATAACAGCAACAAACGTACTGATCAGTTACTATGATGGCCATAGTTTTGTTTTTTGTGGTTTTTTGTTTGTTTGTTTGTTTGAGACAAGGCCTCTTTTCTTTTTTGCGTGTCTGTGGTTTTTTTTTACTTTTTTTTCTTTTTTCTTTTTTTTCCATTTTTTAGGGACAAGGTCTCAATCTGCTACCCAGGTTGGAGTGCAGAGGTGCAATTACAGCTCACTTCAACCTCAACCTCCTTGACTCAAGTGATCCTCCCACCTCATCTTCCCACCTCAGCCTCCCACGTAGCTGGAACCATAGGCATACACCACCACACCTGGCTAATTTTTTTAACTTTTTTGTAGAAATGAGGTCTCGCTATGTTGCACAGACTAGTCTTGAACTTCTGGGCTTAAGTGATCCCCCAACCTGGCCCTCCCAAAGTGCTGGGGTTATAGGCTTGAGCCACTGCACCTGGAAGTTGGCATAGTTTTAATTGTTCTATATGTGTTAATTCTTTCATCCTCACAGGACCCTATGAGGAAGTTACTAATGCATTATTGTAGTACGAAACCACAGCAGAGACGTGATGTAATTATCATGAAGCCATACAATCATGAAGCCAGCACTTTGGGAGGCCGAGGCGGGTGGATCACCTGAGGTCAGGAGTTCAAGACCAGCCTGGCCAACATGGTGAAACCCCATCTCTACTAAAAATACAAAAATTACCAGGCATGGTGGCAGGCAGCTGTAATCCCAGCTACTCAGGAGGCTAAGGGAGGAGAATTGCTTAAATCCAGGAGGCGGAGGTTTCAGTGAGCCGAGATTGCACCACTGCACTCCAGCCTGGGTGACAGAGTGAAATTCCATCTCAAAAAAAAAAAAAAAATCATGAAGCCAGGATTCTGACTCAGGCAGTCATACTCTAGAGGACTTAATGAATACTCTGTATTATTTCTGGTGAGCCCATTTAGATTTCTGCTGTTATACTTGGGGAAACTGAGCACCAGAGACAGTACAGACTCTTGGCCTGTCACACAGCAAATTAGTGTGAACAAAGCTGAGACAAGAAACTCACATCCGTCTTCCTGGGGCTCTCACTCTGTCCAGTAACAGACCAGGAGGGGTGCAGGGATAGGGGCTCACTCAGAACTGAAACAGAGGGCTTCCCAAGGCTCAGGGGCAGAAGGGAGAGAAACGGGGCTGGGACCCACTTGCTTTCTGAGATCAAGCATCCTGAGATCGAAGTAGGGCTTTGAAGAAGGCAAACAGAATGGTAGGTCAGGGAGGACTGGGGTGAATGGTCTTCCAAAACATTCTTGCCACCTTAGGCTGGTCCCCAGACAGGATCAGAGGATACACCTTCTTCTCATGTCTGGAGGTGAGTCTGGGGGCCAGGAAAGCTCAAGAAACCCTTCCTGCTTGAGCTTTGCGCCAGGAGTAAAGGTGTATTTCCACCCTCCAGCAGAGAAGGTGGGGAGAGCAGAGTCCCCCCGCGGCAACTCAGGCGGCACCCACCATTCTCCATGTATTCAGTGATGATGTAGATGGGCTCCTGGGTGACCACAGCGTAGAGGCGAACCAGCCGCTGGTGTTGCAGCTGCTTCATGAGGTTAGCCTCCGCCAGGAAGGCATCCGGGGACATGCTGCCCTGCTTCAGGCTCTTCACCGCCACCTTTGTGTGCTCGTTGTAGTACCCTGGGTCAGGGGAGGGAAGGACTGGGAGGCTCACCAGGCAGCTGTCCTGGGTCTCTCACCACCTCTGCAGCCCCTCCCGTTCCCCTCTTCCCAGGCAGTCCTGGAGGCCACACTCACCCATCCACACCTCCCCGAACTGTCCAGCCCCCAGCCGCTCCACCAGCTTCAGCGTCTCCCTGGGAACCTCCCACTCATCCTCCCACCAGGGCTTCTGGGGCTTCTGGGTCTGACAGGGGCGGCTCAGCCGTGTGCACAACCCATCTGAAGCATCTGCGAGGACAAGGGAGTGGGGAAGGTGGTCTTGTATTGACACCACCTCCGCCACTTCTCCAAGCCCACATCCAGGGGAAGTGGACTAGCAAAAACCACCTCCCCCACTTCTCCAAGTCCCCACCCAGGGGAAGTGGACTAGCAAAAACCACCTCCCCCACTTCTCCAAGCCCCTTATCCAGGGAAAGTAGACTAGCAGGCAGGTGTGGGGCTGTCACCCAAACCCTTGGGGCCGTAGGGTTCCACGGTTCCACACCTCACCCACTGCGGGGAATGGAGGAGCGCATTGAAAGATGGTTGGGGGACACCCGAAGGGGACTGAGGGAAGATGGGCTGATAGGGCACTGGGAAGGGGTCCCGCCAGGCTCACTGGTGTAATGTCGGACCAGTTCATGCAAGCCGGGAAAAGTGATTCGCGGGGAGATGTAAAAGCCACCGTTGTCCAGATTACGGATCTTGTAATGTTTCACCACCTCTCCCTGGTTCTGGTCAAAGTCCCGGACCGACAGTGAAAATGATCCTGAATAAATGAATGGATGGATAAAGGAACGAAAGAAAGCAGAGTCTGGCCCGCCACCACGGCCCCCACCTCAGGCTCACCCCGCGCGCCCCACTCCGGCTCACCCCACACCCCCACCTCGAGCTCACCCCCGCGCCTCCCTTTGGCTCACCCCGCGGCCCCCACCCCCGCGCCGGGTCGAGGCCGCCGCCCGCTCACCCGCGGTGCTCTCGCTCTCCCGGATGAGGAAGGAGCCGTGAGTGTTCCCGGGCGCCAGGAGCTGCCGCTCCGCATCCTTGCGGCTCAGGTTCTTGAAGAACCAGCTGTGCAGGGCGGAAGCCAACACAGGCCATCGGCTGTTGTCGAATCTTCCTCCGTGGCCCTCAAGCCTTCACCGCCACCCCAGGCCCACTCCCTGCTCCAGGATCCCTGGATCTGCTTCCATCCCCCCTCCACGACGGGACCCCACTCACGGTTCGGGCTCCAGGCTGTTCGCTTTGGCCACAAAATTGAAGGGGACGAAGCCTTCCTGGCCCGTGGTCAGGGACTGCGCCTTCCACCACTCGCCGTTCCTGCGCCACGGAGGCGGGTCAGTGCGGCCCACTCAGCCGTTGATCTGAGGCTATCCCTCAAAGACCCCCCAACCCTGAAGCCAGCCTCCCGAACCCTGGCTCCGCACTCCTGAGCCTCGAATTTTGTCCCAAGGGCGGCCACCCTAGCCAGTCAAGGGCCGCAGGAGGGCTGCGGTACCGGAGATCCCCGCTCCCTCACGGACTCCCCAGAGCAAGGTGGTCAGGGACTCACTGCTCCAGGATTCGGAGCTGTTCCCCTTTCTCAAAGCCCAGGTCTCCGTCGTGAGAGGGCTTGTAGCTGTGCAGGGCAATAACCAGGTTGTCTGTAAAGACAAGCGGCATCAGGGAGAACCGGCCTGAGATGGGCAGGAAGCCTGGAGTTATGGGGCAGGCGACAAGGAAGGCAGGACAGGGGAGAGAGTAGGTGGGGAGGAGGTGGAAGCCGACAGCGAGGGATCTTGTTTTTCAAGCCCTGCTGCCTGGGGTCACCTTGCAGTGGGGAGGCCGGCGGATTGGAGCCCTCGTAGGTGACCAGTGGGTCCCGCACCTCAGAGCCGTTTCGGAAGAGCAGCTGTGGGGTGGGGGATGAAGAGTGGAGTCAGAGAGCAGAAGACTGGGTCAGACCCTGGCCCCCTTCCCCTCTGCTCTCAGCCTTTCCGCCTGGTTGGGTCTTATCCCTGAATTGATCAACTGCTTGCTGTGTGATCTTAGGAGAGTCCCTTTCCCTCTCTGGGCCTCTTTTCCTTTCCTGTATTCCAGGGGAGAGGGCCGCTCTATTCTTTCAAGGGCCTGTATCGCTGGTCATTTCTTCCTCCTGGGTTGCATGGTCTACCCAACTCCCTCACTAAGGCCCCTGTCTTGCCTCTTACCGTGGCCTTGCCATCCAGTGGGACTATGGGATAATGGCAGTTCTCACACACATCGATGTTCTCCATCCAGTCATCTTCCGGGTGTGAGCTGCAGCCACAGCCCATGGTCCCTGAGGGAATGGAGAAGGGGGCTGAAGGGGCTCCCCCAAGATCTGCTCCCCCAGCATCAGACATCATGGGGCCTTGCCCTGGAAACTTCCAAAAGTACCTGAGATCGTGAGATCCTGGGATCCCCATTCACCAGCCACAGAAAAGGTAAAACAGGGGGTCCCAGCTCCAAACCGGGGCTCCCTCTGAGCCCTCAGGGTACAAGTAAATTCACACAAGGCCCCTGAGCCCTAGCCCCACCCTCCCACCTGGGATGGGCAAACCGCCACAGGCACCTTTGTTAGTCTAGTTACCCACTTCCTGCCTCTTCCCCCTCCCTTTCCCTCTGCTGGTACCAGTGTCTGTAGGGAGGACTACCTTCTGAAGATGACACACACTTCCCCAAGCCTGGGGGAGACCTCACTCCATCAGACTCTCCCTTACTGGAGAGATGTGCATGCCCCACCCACCTCCTTTTATAATTCCCCTGTCTAGCTGAAGAGGCTGAGAAAGAGACTTCCACTCCCAAGGTCTGCCATCAGGCCCCGCGCTCCCCACACAACCCCAGAGTCAAGTCACAGTGTTTCTTCAAACATGGGCCTGCTCCTCCCCAGCACAAAACCTCCCAGTGGCTCTGTGGGCCATAACTCTTTTTGTTTATTTGCCTGTTTTAGCAGTGGAACTTTTTTGTCTGATGAAATCAAGCAGAACTCCATAGATAAGGTGATAAAAAGTGGGCCTGAAGCAGAGTGAGGGCCTTGCTTTGAAGCTCCTGGAGTCCCCACAACTCCTCCTTCTCTAGCGCGGCTCCTTAGAGCACTTGGAAAGCTCTGTCCTCGAATAAAGTTTAATGTTTCGTGCATTCCAGACCTCGCATATCAAGATCAAATCTACCTCCAAAGTCCATTCCGCTACACAAACACTCTCACACACACACACACACACACACACACCTTATATACACACACACCCTACACACACATAGGCACCCACTACCCCACCCCCCACACAGAGGCATCCACACTCACACACACAGAGGCAGGCACACACACACTCTCTCTCTCACACACACACAGGCACCTCTACCCCACCCCCCACACAGACACATTTACACTCACACACGCAGGCACACACACACACACACTCACATACACACAAACACCCCCACACACACACATTCACACACAGACTCATTCCCCCAATACACAGGCACCACACACACACATACTCACATAAACACATACACTCATCCCACCCACAAGTACACACACACACACACACTCACACACAGGTATCCACACACATAGTCACATACACACCCTATACACACAGGCACCCACACCCATGAACACACACACCCACATACACACACATACACAGGAACCAACACCCACACAAATGCACTCATCCAACACACATCTCACCCTAGGTTCCCCCTCCCACACACACATTCATACACACACAGGCACCTCCACACTAACACAAACACCTACAGTCACCCCCACACACCCACATCCATACACACACACACTCACATCCCCAGACACACACACAGGCACTGGCATCCCCTCCACACACACCCCCACATACCCACACTCACACACAAATACACACACACACAGGCACCACACACACACACGGCCTCTGTTCTGAACTATTTTTGCCGTTCCCAAACACCCCATGCTATTTTCTTACTTCATGCCTTTGTACTTGTGGTTCCCCCTGCTTTGAAATGCTCTCTCTCTTCCTCTCTCCTTGTCTCTCTCTCTCTTTTGAGAGAGGGTTTCCCTCCCTTGCCCAGGCTGGAGTGCAGTGGCACAGTCCCTTTAGACCTCCTGGGCTCAAGGAATCTTCCCACCTCAACCTCCCCAGGAGCTGACACCAAAGGTATGCACCATCATGCCCAGTTGATTTTTTTTCCCTAGAGATGAGGTCTCACTATGTTGCTCAGTCTGGTCTCGAACTCCTGGGCTCAAGCAATCCTCCTGCACTGGCCTCCCAAAGTGCTAGGATTATAGGCATGTGCCAATCTCTTGTTCACCTGCTGAATTCTAACAGCCTTCAAGGCTCAACTCAAATATTACTTTTCTTTTTTTTCCTGCAACCTCTGTTTCCCAGGTTCAAGCAATTCTCCTGCCTCAGCCTCCTGAGTAGTTGGGATTACAGGCATTCACCATCATGCCTGGCTAACTTTTGTATGTTTAGTGGAGACAGGGTTTCACCATGTTGTCCAGGTTGTTCTCGATTTCCTGGCCTCAAGTGATCCTCCTGCCTCAGCCTCCTAAAGTGCTGGGATTATAAGCACGAGCCACTGCAGCTGGCCTAAGTATCACCTAGTCTGTGAACACTTAACAATGCTCTTGGCTTCCTTCTCACCCTAGGTTCCTACAACATTCTATTCAGACCACAATCATCAATTTAGGCACAGGGTTCCATGACTACTGATTTACATGTCAGCCCCACAGTCCCACTGCCTCTCCCATAACTCTGATGAGACTGGGGTTTCATCAAGAGCATAAGCTGTACTTTATTTGTCTGAAAACCACTAGCACCCAAAATTAGTTAATAAATGTCAACTGGAACGTGAAGTGTTAATGCACAGAGTCTCGTATCTGCAAAGGTCTTAGAAACCAGCAAGCTTGCCAGGTGCGGTGGCGCACACATGCAATCCCAGCACTTCGGGAGGCTGAGGCGGGTGCATCACCCAAAGTCAGGAGTTCAAGCCAGCCTGGCCAACATGGTGAAACCCCATTTTTACTAAAAATACAAAAAATTGGCTGGGCATGGTGGCACACACCTGTAATCCCAGCTACTTGGGAGGCTGAGGCAGGAGAATCACTTGATATTGGAAGATGGAGGTTGCAGTGAGCCGAGATGGCGCCATTGTACTCCAGCTTGGGCAACAAGAGTTGAAACTCTGTCTCAAAAAATGAGAAAGAAACTGTGGCTCATGCCTATAATCCCAGCACATTGGGAGGCTGAGGCGGATGGATCACAGGCTGGTTCAAGACCAGCCTGGCCAATATTGTGAAACCCTGTCTCTACTAATAATACAAAAACTAGCCAGCAGTGGTGGTAGATGCCTGTAATCCCAGCTACTCAGGAGGCTGAGGCAGGAGAATCGCTTGAACCTTGGAGGTAGAAGTTGTGGTGAGCCAAGATGGCACCATTGCACTCCAGCCTGGTGACAGAGAGAGACTCTATCTCAAAAAAAAAAAAAAGAAAAGCCAGCAAGTCTAATCTCCAATGTGTTCTTTGTTGATTTTTTTTTTTTGAGACGGAGTTTCGCTGTTGTTACCCAGGCTGGAGTGCAATGGCGCGATCTCGGCTCACCACAACCTCCGCCTCCTGGGTTCAGGCAATTCTCCTGCCTCAGCCTCCCAAGTAGCCGAGATTACAGGCACTCGCCACCACGCCCAGCTAATTTTTTGTATTTTTATTAGAGATGGGGTTTCACCATGTTGACCAGGATGGTCTCGATCTCTTGACCTCATGATCCACCCGCCTCGGCCTCCCAAAGTGCTGGGATTACAGGCTTGAGCCACCGCACCCGGCCTGTTGATTTAGTTTTGAGATAGACTCTCACTCTCTTGCCCAGACTGTAGTGCAATGACCCAACCCTAACTCACTGGAATCTCAAACTCCTGGGTTCAAGTGAACCCAGGCCGTAACTCAGCCTCATGGGTAGCTGGCACCATCACACCTAGGTGATTTTTTACTTATTCTAGAGATGGGTGTCATGCTATGTTGCCTGGACTGGTCTTGAACTGGCCTCAAGTGATTCCTCCTCCTTGGCCTCCCAAAGTGCTGGGATTACCATGAGCTGCCATGCCTGGCTAAACCTCTGATTTTGGATGAGCAAAATGAGGCCCATTGAGGCATGCTTAAAGTCACACAACCTATTTGGGGTAGAGTAAAGCCGGAGTTGCTGGCCAGGAGTGGTGGCTCATATCTGTAATCCCAGCACTTTGGAAGACTGAAGAAGTAGGATCATTTAAACTCAGGAGTTCCAGACTAGCCTGGGCAACACAGTGAAACCTCATCTCTAGAAAAAAATTTAAAAATTAGCCAAATGTGGTGGTGCATGCCTGTAGTCCCAGCTGCTCGGGAAGCTGAGGCAGAAAGATCCCTTAGGCCCAGGATGTCAAGGCTGCAATGAGCTATGATTGTGCCACTGCACTCCAGCCTGGATGACAAAAAAAAAAAAAGCAGGCCAGGCACAATGGCTCATGCCAGTAATCCCAGAACTTTGAGAGGCCATGGCGGGTGGATCACCTGAGGTCAGTAGTTCAAGACCAGCCTGACTAACATGGAAAAACGCTGTCTCTACCAAAAATACAGAATTAGCCAGGCGTGGTGTCACATGCCTGTAATTCCAGCTACTCGGGAGGCTGAGGCAGGAGACTTGCTTGAACCCAGGAGGCAGAGGTTGCAGTGAGCTGAGATCGTGCCATTGCACTCCAGCCTCGGCAACAAGAGCGAAACTCCATCTCAAAAAAAAAAAAAAAGCAAGCAGGCCTGGCACGGTGGCACATGCCTGTAATACCAGCATTTTGGGAGGCCGAGGTGGGTGGATCACTTGGGGTCAGAAGTTTGAGACCAGCCTGACCAACATGGTGAAACCCCTTCTCTACTAAAAATACAAAATAATAATAATAATTAGCTGGGTATGGTGGCATACACCTGTAATCCCAGCTACTCGGGAGGCTGAGGCAGGGTTGCTGAGATTCTGCCACTTCCACTGCACTCTGTACTCCAATCTGGGTGACAGAGACTCCATCTAAAAAAAAAAAAGCGAATTCATGCTGGGTGTAAGTGGAGGCAAGGAGCAGTGGAAGTTTCTCATTAGCAAAAATCAGAAGACTGGCCCCAAAGTTGAAGAGATCTAAATTCGCCGGGCGTGGTGGCTCACGACTATAATCCCAGCACTTTGGGAGGCCGAGGCAAGCAGATCACGAGGTCAAGAGATCGAGACCATCCTGGCCATGGTGAAACCCCGTCTCTACTAAAAATGCAAAAATTAGCCGGGCGTGGTGGCACGCGCCTGTGTTCCCAGCTACTCGGGAGGCTGAGGCGGAAGAATCGCTTGAACCCAGGTGGAGGTTGCAGTGAGCCGAGATTGCGCCACTGCACTCCAGCCTGGCGACAGAGTAAGACTCCGTCTAAAAAAAAAAAAAAAAGAAAAAAAGAGACCGAAGTTCAAATAGTGTTTTTGACCCTTACTGTATGGCTTTGCTAAAATAATTCCTCCTAAGTCTCACTTTTCCTCTCTGTCAAATGGGGCTCTTCATCCATTTCTTGTAAGCTCCATAAATGTTAGCTTAGTTTACTGCTTAGAAATACTTTCACCAGTGCATATTCTGTCTACTGACTCCTGCTTTGGAAAGTGGGAGAATGGGACTGGATAATTAATCTCCTTTTTTTTTTTGAAACAGAGTCTCAAAAAAGTTGCCAGGCTCCAGGCTGCAGTGCAGTGGCACAATCTCAGCTCACTGCAACCTCTGCCTCCTGGGTTCAAGCAATTCTCCTGCCTCAGCCTCCCAAGTAGCTGGGACTACAGGCACACGCCACCACACCCAGCTAATTTTTGTATTTTTAGTAGAGACGGGGTTTCACCATGTTGGCCAGGATGGTCTTGATCTCTTGACCTTGTGATCCGCCTGCCTCGGCCTCCCAAAGTGCTGGGATTACAGGCTTAAGCCACCAAAGCCTGGCCTCCCTCTTTCTTTCTTTCTTTCTTTCTTTCTTCCTTCTTCCTTCCTTCCTTCCTTCCTTCCTTCCTTCCTTCCTTCCTTCCTTCCTTCCTTCCTTCCTTCTTTCTTTTCTTTCTTTCTTTCTTTCTTTCTTTCTTTCTTTCTTTCTTTCTTTCTTTCTTTCTTTCTTTTTCTTCTTTCTTTCTCTCTCTCTCTCTCTTTTTTTTTTTGAGACAGAGTTTTGCTCTTGTTACCCAGACTGGAGTGCAATGGCACAATCTCAGCCCACCGCAGCCTCTGCCTCCTGGGTTCAAGCAATTCTCCTGCCTCAGCCTCCCGAGTAGCTGGGACTACAGGTGCACACCACCATGCCCAGCTAATTTTTGTATGTTTAGTAGAGACGGGGTTTCATCTTGTTGACCAGGATGGTCTCAATCTCTTGACCTCGTGATCTACCCACCTTGGTCTCTTAAAGTGCTGGGATTATAGGTGTGAGCCACCACACCCGGCCTCCTCTCTCTCTTTCTTTTTTTATAGACAGAATCTCGGCCGGGCATGGTGGCTCATGTATATAATCCCAGCACTTTGTCTTAAATTTTTTTTCTTTTCTTTTTTTTAGAGATGGGGTTTCACCCTGTGTGCCAGGCTGGTCTTGAACTCCTGATCTCAGGGGATCCACCAACCTCGGCCTCCCAAAGTGCTGGGATTACAGGCATTAGCCACCTCACTCAGCCAATCCCAGCACTTTGGAAGCCAGAGGCAGGCGGATCACAAGGTCAGGAGTTCCAAATCAGCCTGGCCAACATGGTGAAACCCCATCTCTACTAAATATACAAAAGTTAGTGGGGCATGGTGGTACGTGCCTGTAATCCCAGCTACTCAGGAGGCTGAGTCAAGAGAATTATTTGGGCCTGGCGTGGTGGCTCACACCTGTAATCCAAGCACTTTGGAGGCCAAGGCAGGCGGATCACCTGAGGCAGGGAGTTCAAGACCAGCCTGACCAACATGGTGAAACCCCGTCTTTATAAAAAAAAAAAAAGACAGAGAGAGAGAGAATTGTTTGAACCTGGAAAAAGATTTAGTGAGCATCCTGTTGTTTTTGATATTCATAGAGCCTTGGGAAACCACAGATTGGTTGTGTTGTAAA